TCGCGTTGACTTGACCCAAACTGTAGATGATTGTTCCCTCTTGCCTTTCGACTATCTGAATCGTCACGCGATAGTGCCTTTATTATGTACTATCTTGCTTTGTCCAGTGTTACTTGTAGCTGCACAGATAGTTCTTGATCCCTGATCAAACAATCGAGGGATATCAATTGCTCATATACGCTGTTGAACTTCTTTCACGTCAAAAGTCGAAAGATCCTTCTGGATGAGAAGTAAATTCGTATTATTTGACTTATGTTGGACTTTTATAATGCTTACACGCACAATTAAAATTAAAATGCGTATGTTTCACCTATTGATGTTATTGTTTCGTATCGCCCATACCTTCATGATTTATCTCCTGAGTAGTGTGTTTCACACCCGGTCTATCGTTTCGGAACGCGATCTATAATCCGGGATCAAAATCGAGAGTTAATGTTCTGTGACTGCTCATTCTCTGCGAGGATCGTATTCGATGTGTCTTTCGTACAAATATAAATGTGACCGACGTGAACATACAAAAAATTTATAACTTCTCCCATGCAATCGTAGATCTCATGCCATAGGTACAACATATGTCGTGAACATGTCCATCGTAATCTCCACCACATACCCATCCGAGATAGGTGCGACCTCGATGTCAGGATCGCGATCCAGGTCTCGAAATAGAGATTTCGTTCTTTCGATGATACGATTGGTAATGTTAGCCCCCTTAACCAGTAAATCTGGTTAGCTTAACTCCCTTTCCACGAAAAATGCGTCATACCATTCTAAGTCGCTCTTAAAAAGATAATATTGGGAATTGTCCAAGCTGACTATTTTCCTTTGCTACAATCTCTTGATCAAATTTACCACAGAATCGTGAGTGTTTATTCACGATTCTGTGGTAAATTTGATCAAGAGATTGTATAAGCGTAGATCGAGGTAAATCGTGTCGGTGTTACATTTTGATGTGTTCGGTTTTGACTCCTAGTTTTGACACTGTGTTAGAAATAAAAAAGATTATTTTTACCCTACATATTTAAATAAAATCATGAGTGCTACTAGCCTATATGTCTCAATGTCAACTTTGGACAAGAAAATTAAATGAAGACTACGCTTTTAATTTTTATCAGCTCTCACTTTCTCTTTGGGATTGGTTTTATATTCCCCCGGATATTAATAAGATGTAGAGGTTGGCACCGCCAAGTATTGCGTCAAAAAGAAACGGCATGATGACGATAAGGCTGACATAAAACACACTAAATTGACTCGATCGTGGCCGTGCAGTCTTCGGTTTTTAAACTACTTGTCATACATCCTTGTGGGAGTAGATTCAAATTTTTGGTGATGAAAATAGCGGATATGCCGTTGGTTGCAGCACGATCCGTAGATGTGATATGTGTGTAAGAGGCATCTGTTCTAAGCATGACTTAATGCGAGTAAAATAGTCAGTATGGCTCAATATTATATTGACCTGTTGAACAGTCTGTCATTGGCGGTCGTGGTAACTTTCATCGTTTGTAGAAGAAATCGCTACCGTGATCATGATTTTAGACTCCAGTGGACTTTTAATTTTAACCACGAATTTTTAGTTATCATTAGGTAGATTATCAAGTTTTTAATATTTATGTAGAAAAATTGATTATGAAAACATAAAGGGATGCTATTAGCAGTGTTTCTTTTAAGAATATTACTTTGCGCTCAACTACACAACACGCTTAATAAACACGATAACTCATTTCGACGCAGATTTGAATCAAGACGCAATAGGGTTTAGCTTTGCTTTATCCTATTATTGTAAAAAGAAAAAAATGACTGAGCTCTCGATTTTGTGCTACATGCCAATCGGCAATTGCCACTGCTATACTTCAGTCAAATGTTGACAGCAAAACACGAGCTAGGTTCTCATTTAATTGTTCATCCACTCAAACTTTGCACAACTGAATGATCATTCGACGAAACAAAAGATCATACATCCGACCCAGCTGTAATTGCAAAATTATCACATTAACGCATATCCAATTGTCATTATGGTATGCAAGTCGCTGCTTATTGCCCTTTTGTGTAAAAAAATTCCATCACCTATCATGACTGCAATTATGCTTGCTTACTTATTATTGAAACTGTATACGTCGGCACAAAAATAACTAGCGATCAGGTATACAGTAAAATCAATTGTAAAGGCACCGTTCTCATTACGACACGAAATTGCCATAGTTCGGTAGTTCTCGTGGACGCTGGCATATGTACAAAACTCTTGCAGTTCCAGTTCGGTAGGAGGCCGCATAATAAAAGGTTTATTAAATTTAATATGGTCGTGACGTATTACGGAGCACCAAACACTTAAAAACTCAGTGCACTCCATTAAATCATATACAGATTAAGTAAGTGATTCTAATACTTTACGTAAAGTACGTGCAGAGGGTGTTTGTTTGATAAGTGCTGGTTTCTAAATAAAGTTATATCATAGAAAAGTAATGAGCGTAGTAATAAATTGTCATAAAATCAGAGTTACAATTATTTTTACTATGTTTGAATATCAAACGCATTGAAATTTTAATCACACCACTAGTGCGTACGTCTGTCGTGGTTCAAAACTTTTGGTTTATTATTATAGCCTAAATCAATCAATTAATTAAAGCATTACCAACTGTAGAATCACCACCTGATAGGATAATATCTTAATGGTCATATTTGCTTGCACACTATAACCTATGGATTAAGTGTTTAGTGAATATCGTGTGACGGACAACCTGTTCTGTATGGATTCCTTGGTCTTCGCTGACGGTGATATTCAAGCAACAAATGCGACAGGTCATTAACCTCTCTGATCGCCGGACGCAACCCTACATGATACAACGGTAATTTTGCTGAGACACACTAATTATTATCTTTTCTTTGCTTAGAACATATAGGTATACCACCTGCTCATCTCTTTTTAAGTCTGTCAGAGTTCATTTATGTAACGTAAAGTGTGGTTTAGAAAAGTAAACATTTGTCTTTAGTATTTCCCTTTTTCGAGTCGATACCACGATTATAACAAAATACAAAGCTACATGTATTGAGAGTGTGTGTGTGGAATAAACATGAGCTTGGAGATATGCATTGCTATAACAAGTATGTACAGCAGATAGGATAAGCGTAACGGTCGATAGTGGGTCGTTGTACCGGTGATTTTTCTGGCCTATCTACAATACTCGCCCGTGACTCAATGTTTCGCACCAATTATTGATGTATCTGTGATTTCAATAACCCTATTTGAACCTCTATCTCTTTGATGTAATTTTTAACCCCCATCTGTACAAAAAGATTCGACTTGGATAAACGCATTAAAATCAGGATTGTTTTGTCACAGGTAACTAGTGCATTTATAATCAGGATTGTTGTCGAAATTTGATGGTTTTATTCACTTTTTGAATAAATTCAGTACCTTCTTTTTTTGTCAAGTACACACAAACTAAACCGATTTTTATTTGTCGATAAAAAGACTATTTGACTGTATTTTGCACTAATCATAATTAAACTCTAGAGAAACATGATTCAAGTTTTACTTGAACAGCGAGTAAGAGACTTCATTGAGATACTCAAGACATCTATAATTGACTAATATGGGATAATACGCTTATAAGAAAAGTGAGGTCAGGTTTCCACTCTCCAGCCGGTAGTACGGTGCAAATTTTGCGAAGAGGTGGGTGAAGCCGGGCACGCGCTTTTGGCGATTTCGAAAACTGCTGCGTTACATTCTGTAGATAATTTCCGTCCCGCTAGAAAAGAGAGGTAATTATGAGCACACGTCTGCCGCGACACTCACGATCCCATCGGGGTCCATTTCGCCATATATTGTAAGTGCAAAGTTGATGCAGACAGTAAGTCCGACCGCACACCGCTTCGCATTAAGGTATAGTTGACGAGGTTAAAAAGTCGCGGTGGTCGCTGCTAGAGCATCTGCTAGGTGATCTTAGCGCTGTATTCACTACATGCATCGGATCGAGATGCAAGGCGTCAGCATGACCGATCCTAAGGATAGCCTCCAATTTAATTTTTAATATTAATATCAACCATAGCGTACGACATTTTGCTTCCCAGATGATACATGCCGCGTGCGCTTCATGTCGATGCGCACGATAACCGAATTGAACCCTCAACTTCCCGTTTGCCACGGTCGTCTCCGTCGAAGAAGAGACAACAGTGGCTGTGTAACGGGGTAGCCCGTTACATGAAATTGACACCAAACGGTGTCAATTGGAACATTGTCTAGTATGACAATATCCTACCAATGTTATCCGAGATGGATTATTTCGAAGGAATATTACCCCCTTTTGAATAACATTTATTTGCTGCTCCACGATTGGTTAATGAATACACATCGACCATGGATTAACCACCAATCGCTGCTAGACGCGCGCAATGAGTGGCGAGCAGGTTGTCGTCATACGACGACGTAGTTTAATGTCGTTAAATGAAGATTAAAGTTGTATTGATAGCTGACTAGATCATATACAGCTCTCTTTTTACCTTCTACTCTAACTAGCTGTTTGAGTAGATTTGCTTCCTCTGCACGTACTATTGTACGTGAAGTTTCGTGGCACCCCAAACAAAGGGTGCCCCGTTACACCTGGTAGCACTTCTTAGTCCGTCTAACGACTGCTTAGTGTCCGTCCAACATGAACATGTTGGATGTAGAAGACGACAGCTTTCACGTCACACGTGAAGGCTACTACCATCTGAGTGACCCAGAATGGGAGGTAGTCGGCCGGATGAGTGTCCTCATGGGCGAACCCGCCATCAGTGGTATGTTCGCGTCTCTAAGCAGAGACTGTTAAAAAACGGCAATGTTACCCGTAACGGTTGAGGTAAAGGTTATGGCAACGGTTGAAGTAACGGCTGACGACTTGAAGAGATGTAGGAAGATTAGGGATTGAGTGGACAGCATAGTGGATGGTTGATTGATTGGATAGGAGTGATGGAGAACAAGAACAACTAGTCCATCATCGTAGCAAGAAACGATAACACCAAAAACAATGACAGAATCCTTTTACCACAGCGCTGAAGACTTCTTCTCATCGACTACTATAAGCGAACAGGTTATGAGCCCAAACGGGTTGTCTGACGACAACTACACGGCACAGGCGCCGCCAACTACCAGTCACGCAAGGGCTGCGTCGGAGCCTGCCGTGGTCGTACCATCGCACGCTCACGCAAGGAGCGCGGACAATGATGCGCTGGAGAAGGTTCTCAAGTTGCTAAGCGGCATGGACGAGCGCGTTAAGAAGATGGAGCTGTCCCAGGCAAGGATTCACCAAGACGAGCGCATGCGCGGAGCAGTGGACAGCGGAATATTTACCTCAATGCTTGGCGCGGACTTCGCGGGCAAGATTCACTGTGACGCGCTTGACTGCTCAGACTTGACAAGCCACCAAGCGCGCTTGTGTGTCGATCGTCAGCGTGCGCAGCGCGCACAGCAGCCGCCTATCCAGATACCAGCGTATAAGCCTTCGCCTATGCCACATCGACAGGAGTCACCAGCTGCGCCGATGCAATCGCCTTTGCCAATTCAGTTTCGGACTCCCGACGCGAGGCAGCGCAAGCTCGCGATACGGAAGTTCGATGGGACCAAAGTTTACGTCGGACTCGGGTCCGGCTTCTTCGACTGGGGCAAAACTTTCTGGAGGCAAGTAGACATGGCTCAGGAGTCGTGCGGATTCCTGTGGACCAAAAACGTCAAGACTGATGTTCTTGGCCAGTACCTGACTGGCACAGCAGAGCGCTACTTCAGCAAGCAGGTCGACACGTGGTGGGCCGTGCTACCGACTCTACAGTACGTTATGCAGCGAATGCTTGATAAATTTAAGACGACAATCACCGCAGCCCAAGCAATGAAGCTGTTCACGACAAGGAAGGAAGGCAAGCGCTCGTGGCCGGAGCACTACCTGTACCTAGTCGCATTCAGCGATGCGGCTGGTGGCGCTGAGCAGCAGGTGCTTGAAAATATCGTGCGGTATACATCGCTTGAGCTGTCGACGATTCTGATGGCCAAGTACGAGACGCATCGTGTCGACTACCTAGTGCACGCCGAAGAGCTCGCACATTTCGCGCAGGCAATCGAGATGGAAGCTCGACCGGGACGCTTATTTGAAAAGGAGGTTGTCGCCCACGTGGATGAGTCCACACCGCGAAAGGAAACGCGTACCTGCTATGGATGTGGCAAGATGGGACATGTTAAAGACGACTGTCGTAGCAGGAGAACTAGCGACAAGAACAGCAGCCGTCGCGGTAAGAGCGGTGGCAACATTGTACTTGCGATTGGCGAAGGCATCAGCAATAAGGGCGAGCGTCATGCCAAGTGTAATTTGACACTGTCAATTAGCAATGAAAGTGACGAAGAAAGCGACGACTGGATTCTGGACAGTAGATCCAGTCGCCACCTCGTCAACAACGCGTCTCTACTACAAGGTGTGCGAGACTGCGAGCACGATGCTACCTAGCCGACGGCGAGGTTATCAAGCTGTCGCGCGTCGGTAGCGTTGTACTGACCGTGAAAGCAGAAGGACTTGAGCGAGATGTGACTCTGACGGAGGTCTACCTCGCACCGGATTTTTTTTTATATTTTATCGAGAAATATCATGTCGTACGCCAAGCTTGAGCGCAAGGGTTTTGGACTTGTCTACGACGGTACGAAGCGCGCACTTGCGAGACGCAGCAATGGATAAGTCGTGTTCGACATAAAAATGGAAAACAACCTACTATACGTTAAGACAGTGGCACCGACACGCGCAGGGACACCACACGATGTACTGATGGCGATCCTAACTCAAGATTCGACGGATGTATCAGCCATGGATGTCCAGATTGGCTCGCTCTACCATTTTCACCAGCGTCTGGGTCACTTGGCGTACGACACGGTCGAGCGCATGGCAAGCAATCCAGATTCCGGCATAACACTCACAGATCGTGCGAGGCCGACGTGCATTTCGTGCGCCCAAGGCAATCAGACGAAGAAAGCACAGTCGCGTAAGGACACGGGGGCTAACTCGGAACAAATGACGCCACCAATGCGGTCAATAGGTGAGTACCTATTGACCGCATTGGTGGCGTCATTTGTTCCGATCTCAAGGGACCGATGAACCCCAAGGACTGGCTCGGAAACCGGTACCTCGTCAATTTTGTGGACCATAAGTCCAATTACTGTCGCGTCTTCCTCGCTTGAACGAAGGACAAGGCCGCGAAGAAGTTCGAACATTCTTGGCATTCTTCGAGCGCCAGTTTGAGTGCCGCATCCACGTGCTAAGGACGGATGGTGGTGCCGAGTACGCGAATGTCGACCTCCTCTGTAAGTCGACTGGTGTCGCAAGACAGGTTGGCGAGGTACGCAACCAGGCATCGAACGGCAAAGCCGAGCGCATGCACCGAACGGTGTTAAACATGGCGCGGTCGATGATCTTTGCGAATCGACTTCCCGTGTCATTCTGGGGTGATGCGGTCGAATATGCGGCGTACATTCTCAACCACAGACCGAAAAGTGCGAACGCGAAGCGAGCGTCACCATTGGAAGTGCTGACAAAGCATGCGCCTGACTTGCGAGACATTATAGCATTTGGCTCTGTTTGATCTGTCTACCGCGATCCACGCAAGAACTCTCTGGCGAGGCAATCGCAAGTGGGCATCATCATCGGACGCAGCGATGAAACCAAGGGCTACAGAGTGTTCCTTCAAAAGGAAAACAAGGTTACTGTCACGCAGCACGTGAAGGATATTGAGACGCTCAGCGAGGCACAGAACAATCAGTTACAGAGGGCGCTCGACTACGAGGACCAAGCAGGTGCGACATCAACAGAAATAGCGACGGCGACCCTGATGTCGGCAGAACCAGCTCCGACATTATCGATACGCAGAGGAAAGAAAAAATCGAAGTCATGGACGTGTGCAGCACACAGGACGCGCAGTGCGGCGAAGCGTTCGCAGGCATCTGGGGTTCAGGAGGAGCCATCACGAGACGAAAGTGTGGTGGCATACGTATTTGAGTGAGACCCCAACAATTATGGGGAAGCGATACGCAGCAGCAAACGCGAAGGCTGGGAGAAAGCTATGCGTGAAGAGCTCGAAGCGCTCGAAGACAACGGCGTGTGACGCTTGATCAAGTGGCCATCCGGAAGCAACAAACTACACATCAAGTGGGTATTCAAGACGAAGACCGACGCGCACGGCGACCTCGGGCGACTCAAGGCTCGACTTGTCGCATGTGGAAACGAGCAGGTCTTTGGTATCGAATACCACTTACCTTCGTGGCAGGTATGGACTTGTCTACGGTAAAGGTGCTTTTGGCTATGGCGGCGACGTGGGGCGTACCCGCTAAACACGGTGACATACCGAATGCGTATCTGAAGGTGGACAAGGAGCCTATCCTCGAGATACTGCTACAGGTACCGCAAGCCATGGAAGTCGACGACACGACACTGAAGAAGCTAGGTGCGGCAAGCACGAAGGATCTGGCACTCGAGCTTCGAAAGAGTTTTTACGGCCTCAAGCTAGCCGGACGACTCTGGAGCCAGCTCCTGCATGCGAAGCTATGCAGCGCAGGATTTACACAGTGTGTTGAAGACATGTGTCACTACTGGAAGAGTGACGGGAAGGATACCGTCGAGGTTGGCGTCTACGTCGACGACCTGCTTGCAACTGGCACCGGAGCAGCTGCGGTAGATCGGTTTTTTGCCAGTCTTGCGAGCCTGTCAATCAAGGACCTCGTCCGTGTGAGTAAATTTCTCGGTATGAGAGTGGCGCTCGATGGTGAAGGCGGCTACGTACTGGATCAGGAGGAGGCGATCAGCGACTTGCTGCAAGAACATGGCCTCACAAACGCAAACTCGACAATTGCGCCGATCGGTGCCGACTGCTATGAAGTGCAGCCGATCGACAGCGTGCAACTTGAGGTTACGAGCACAAATGGAGCACCTACAATTAGAGACTCCCAGTCGCTCGTCGGATCTCTGCTTTGGGTCGCGCGTTTTACGAGGCCCGACATTGAGTTTGCCGTTCACAAGACGACGCGACAGACGCACCAACCGCGGCTTCACGATTGGAAGCTCGCGAAGCGTGTAACTCGCTACCTTAAGGGGACGAAGACGACGAAGATTAACATGAAGCCAAGAGATGTCAGGTGCGCGTCACCCAAGCTCGAGTCAATTAGCGACGCCGACTTTGCCGCTGATAAGAGCGACAGGAAGTTGTTGACCGGAGGCATCATCCTCCTCAACGGCATGGCGATCAGCTGGAGCGCCAAGAAACAAGGTGGCGTGTCCCTCTCGGCAATGGAAGCCGAGTTTGTGGCGGCGTCAGAGATCGCTAGTGAGCTGCTGGGCGTGCGCGAGATGCTTATCAAGATTGGAATGGCGCGAGAGCTACCGATGTTGATGCACGTCGACAATCAAGCGGCAATTCGACAGCTCGAGGGTTAGGCGTCGTCACTCAAGGCAAAGCACATTGACGTGCGAGTCATGTTTGTCTGCGACTTTGCTCGGTGCGGGATCGTGCGTGCGCAGTATGTGAGATCGGAGCTAATGCTCGCTGATATGCTCACATAGGCACTTGACCCACACAAGCTGGCGAAGATGCGCGCTTTGGTGCAGTTCGGGTTGAATGGTAAGTCGTAGCCGAGGAGGAGTGTTAGAAAATGGCATTGTTACCCGTAACGGTTGAGGTAAAGGTTGTGGCAACGGTTGAAGTAACGGCTGACGACTTGAAGAGATGTAGGAAGATTAGTGATTGAGTGGACAGCATAGTGGATGGTTGATTGATTGGATAGGAGTGATGGAGAACAAGAACAACTAGTCCATCATCGTAGCAAGAAACGATAACACCAAAAACAATGACAGAATCCTTTTACCACAGCGCTGAAGACTTCTTCTCCTCGACTACTATGAGCGAACAGAGACCAGCAACATGCTGCTATAAACAAGTTCCAACAAGGGGAACTTGCCTCGAAAGACAGAAGATAGCCTTGCAACAGCAGCAAGGCTCTCATCAGTCAATGGGCGGTTTGACGCACATGAGTCGACCCGAAACCTTGCAAATCGCTATCTCAAGGTACAAGGAAACCGATGAAGATTCCCATTTGAGATGGCTCGTCGAGTTAGACGACGCCATCAGGGCCCGTCACATCGAGGATGACGAGGTGCAAGTCACCTTCGCCCTGTCAAATTTGACAGAACTAGCAAAGACTTGGGCCTTAGGGATCAAGATTCACGACCCAAATGTGTTTGAGTCGTTAGATTTCTTGAAGTATCGGCTTAAAGAGACGTTTGAGCCGCCGAGAGCCGAGTCCAGAGCACGCTTTGCACTATTGAGGCTAAAGCAAGCTAAGCGTGACGTGCACGCTTACGCACAACACGTGTGCTACCTTGCGAGTAGCTTTACGGAGAACCCTGTTGATGAGCACACGCTCATCAACGTGTTCATCTACGGCCTTGTAGATGGACTGGTAAAGACCTACATGTTCCAAGAGGAATTCCATAGGCTAGAAAAGGCGATAGTGTATGCGTGACAAGAAGACTTCAGCCTGAGACAGTCTCAGGCTAACTCGTCAAGCTATCGTCCGACGAGGCGACAGGAAACAGGAATTCCCGAACAAATGGACCTCTGTTTTAACGAGAGCGAGAGCCATCGCTCTCTGAGTCACAAGCGAACGGCAAGATGCCATCGCTGTCAGAAGATTGGGCACTACGCGCATGAGTGGAGCGTCCCAAGCACCGCATCACGTCCAAAGACAGGAAGTGATGACCACCGTCGGCCAAGGAAGGGTCCGAGGCGTAGGTCCGACCATGTCGCTATGCCGCGACAGCAAGTTGGACCGTAAAAAAACGGTCAGGGTCAGTAGGGGCGGAGCACCCTGCTGATCCGGCAACGTCAAGAGAATTTGCAGGACTCTTGACGAAGATTGCTCCCAACACACAGTCGCTGTGTGTTACGGCCCCTAGTGATGAGGAGTCTCTCATCACTTTGAAAATCGAAGTGACAAGTGGAATGTCACTTCGCGCCCTAGTTGGCTGTGGGGCGTCGGACAGTTTTATTCGACTCCAGTCGCTAGAGGATGGTAGGCTCAACTATGTTGAGCGAGAGCTCCCTCCAACGAGGATGACGGTGTGCCTTGCTGCAGGCGCGTCCGTAACAGTGAACAAACGTGTAGTGGGAATCCACTACACGCTAGAAGGAAAACAATACGATGATGAATTAATCGTACTGGATCTGGTTACAAATTTAATGTCATCTTCGGTTTGCCATGGCTTAGAGTATACCAGCGATGGATCAGCTGTCAGCCTCGATCAGTGAAGACGCCTGCCGTCCGTTCATCGGATGGCTATCTGATGAACGTCTTGGAGCGTCCACAAGTGTGTGGATGTACTACGAGTGGGTGCGATGGCCTCACTTTTGGTACGGTCGTTAGTACGATTGCACAAGATCACAGTGTAGAAGGCCACTACACTGTGGAACCAGCTTCCGGTGTAGAGACACAGGCTGCGCAGAAGGTTCACCACTCGAAGAGGTCGAGTGAACTGGAACACGGATGCACACCAAGAAGGGTGCATCCGAGAAGAGAGACTAGTGTTGTTCAGGATAAACAACAAGTTGAAGCGAGATCGACTATCAGAGAGTCGATCGTAGAGCAAGCCCGCTCGACTAAAAGAGAGTCGATAGAAGAGGACAAGACCATGATATGACACGAAACGAAAAGACAATTCCAGCGTTTGTGAGAGCAATAACCTCCGAGAGAGATATGTTGAGGGTGTGGATCCCCAACCACCTGCGGATGTGTCTTCCTAGGAAATTGCCGAGACAGTGGATGTCTTGGTGAATGAAGGATCAAGTGTAGGCGCTCATACACTTGATCTGGTTGCACCTTCAAAACCAGCTTCGGAGGTAATCAAGTTTTCAACGCTAGAATTTATAAGATTTTTGCGAGATCTGTGTAGTGACAAGATCAAGCAGATCTGCGTACTCGTCACAGAGGACGAGTACGTCACCGATCTTCGGTCGGCACAAGTTTTTGCTGAGAACTAACGGGTTCTCAGTAGCTCATCAATGGACGAGAGTTTCCACGATGAGAAGACCCGGAATGAGGGATACACGTCTCAATCTTGAATGTCTTTGACGACAAATCCTTTGCAAAAGGATTTGGTGGAATTCAGGGATGTTTTCCCGGAATCCGTGCTATGCGAGCTGCCCAACGACAAAGGCACTCGGCATGAGATCGAACTGAAAACTGGTTCGAAATACTATGTCATGAAGCTGTGGCCACTGCCTCGTGAACAGGTCACAGCGATCGACAATTTTTTGCCGACCGTTTAGCGGTTGGTCATGTGAGGGAATCAACATCCCCACACAGCTCTCCAAACTTCTGTGTGCGAAAGGCCACAAGAGGGTGGAGGATAGTGCACGCGTTCAACAAACTGAACGCTGCAATCGGTAACGGCTCAAACGCCTATCCCAAGAAAGGACGTCATCATAGATGGTATGGCAAAAAGTACCATCGTCCATGGATTTGATGGATGGATTCTATCAGATCCTCATGCGTGAACGGGGCATCCCGTTCGAAGCAGTGAGCACCCACAGTGTATGATCTGGGAGTGGCTTGTGGTGCTACAGGGGCTAAGTAACGCCCCTGCAACGCTCAAATGATGTGTTACGGATCTGTTGCGATCGGTGCGCGATTTTTCACCGAGTTACTTTGACGATGTCTTTGTCCGTAGCCGGGCCATGGATGGAAAGACGGACGTGGAGGTTCATAAAATACACGTCCGAAAAAAAAGGTTCTTACTCTAATGCGAGAGCATAAGTTGTTCGTCCTTACTCTAATGCGAGAGCATAAGTATTTCGTGAACCTTAAGAAGTGTACATTCGCAGAGAACAAAATAATACTTCTTGGCTGCATCGTGGAAAAAAACGGTGTACGCCCTGATCCGTAAAAGATCGAGGCGATTGGCTACTGGTCTGTGCCAGTCGATGTCAAGGGACTTCGAAAGTTCCTGGGCTTGCCAGCGCATTTGCACAAAGACTTGCGCAACTATGCCGAGATGATCGTACATCTCTGTCGTCTATTAAAGAAAAACGAGAGGTGGTCATGGAGCGCTGAGTGTCAGCACTCTTTTGAAGGCATAAAAAAGCTTGGTGCAATCGTCTGTGTTGGCGATTGCAGATCAGGACAGAACATACCATGCAGTCTGTGACGCCAGCGATTTTGCAATCGGTTGCGCGTTAATGCGATACGACTCAGACGGCGTTGAGCGCGTCGTCTGTTATCAATCGTGTCATCTGCAAGCAGCTGAGCGAAACTATCCAGTTCATGACAAGGAACTCCTTGCTATGGAATATGCACTGGCTAAGTTTCGGGTATATCTCTTAAGAGATAGACCCTTCATCGTTAATGCCGACCATGCGTCATAACGCACGGCCGTAAACAGTCCACACCTCTTGCAACGAATGACGAGGTGGCTGTCTTTCTTCGCGGTGTACAACTTCTCCATCGAGTATAAGCCTGGAAGACTTAATGTCGTCGCTGACGTTCTTTCGCGTCGGCCCGATTTCGAGCCGACTGCTCAACACAACAGTAGGGATGATCCCACTGTCACGACACTAAAAATGAGTATTCCGTCGTCGAATCTACTCGACGACGTGCGAAGAGCATACGCAGAAGATGAGTCTCTTATGCGATTGATGGATTGCGTATCCAATCCGTGCAATCAAGCTTTGAAAAGCTTGAAGTCTCAATACCGCTCTTCAACCGAACGGCATTCTGTCCGTAATGGACTGCTGTACTATACAGCAGTCAACGGCGACGCACCTCGTGTCGTCATTCCGGCTCATAATAATTTGCGACTGCGCATCCTGTATGAGTGTCACGATGCCCCAACAAGTGGGCATCGTGGTAGGGGAAATACTTACCTCACGGTGAGTCGTGACTTCTACTGGCCCCGCTAGTATGAGTTTGTGCGCAGACAAATTCGCGCTTGCGAAGTTTTTCAACGGGTGAAGCCTAGTCCTTCATCCCGCGCACCCTTGTAGCCTCTTCCGATCCCGGCAGAGTGTTGGCAGTCCGTATCGATGGACTTCGTCTTTGAGTTTCCCAAAGACGTTCATAAGAATACGGGTATTCTTGTGTTTATTGATCGGTTCAGCAAGATGGTACATCTTGTTGCTGTACCGGAGTCAATTACAGCCCAGGGCTGTGCACGTGTCTTCATCGATACTATCTTTCGACTTCACGGGTTACTCCGTGAACTCGTGTCTAATAGGGACCACCGTTTATTAGTGGAGTTCTGGCAATCCGTGTTCCGTTCACTTGGAACACGTTTGACGATGTCAACTTCTGACTATCTTGAAACAGATGGTCAGACGGAAGGCGTCAATCGCGTCCTCGAAGAGATACTTTGAGGGTATGTCCACTCGTTTACGAGCTGGAGTGAGTTCTTGCCGATGACGGAATTCGCCATCAACAACTCGGTGCACGCGTCGACAACGCGTAAACCATTCCTCGTAAATGGCCTACGCCATACACATTTACCCGCCTTCTTCGAGTGTGACTCTGGATTAAGGGGAAGTGGACTCGCTCGAACCAAAACCGATCTGGTTCTTGCTCATCACCCGTCGACAATGGTGTCGACGTGATGGATGCCGATGTCGATGCAATCGAGATCGATGATGACGATACTGGCATATTCAGCATCGCCAATGACTGCCAAAGTGAGGACGATGACACCCTCACTGGTGAAGACAACATTCATTTAGCAGTGCACACGAAGCGCACTGCTGTTGACAAGGATGAATCAGCAGAGGAATTTCTGCTGAGTCGCGAAGCGGTTGTCCGCTCCATTTAAGGCTCTATTGCAGATGCAATGGACAATCCGAAAAGAAATGCAGACAAAAAAGAAAGAGCGAATGGTATTTCATTTGATGGATGAAACTTATCTAAACTTTCCACAGTCAATCTACCAAAACACGCAGTAACAAACGTGGGCGGCAGTAAATTACTGCCCAAGTATATCGGTCCATTTCGTGTGTTGCGTCGAATGGGCAAAGCATACACGATTAAACTGCCCCGTAAGATGCGTACGCATCCTAGGTTTTACGTCGGTCGTCTCCGCCCGTACTATTAGTACGAGCCCGTTTCGAGATGCGAAGAACAAGTCCGCGGTCGAGAGCCGAGACCACCTTCGAGTGTTCCGTTTCATCGAGCCAGTCTGGTCGACTAGCGAAGCGACCTGCTCACGCAGTTCAGCGACGTATCGACGAGCTACAGCCAGCTCGTCACGAAGAAAACGATTCGAACTTTCGTTCTCAAGTTTCGCGAACGCAAAAGCGGCACGATAGTCCGAACGATCGTGCGTTAGGGAATTGTAACTATCCCTTACATAATCCTCAAGCCTATAAAGCCGACATCGTTCGTGAGCCAGGTCATCTTGCAACTGATCGGTTACACATTTCATCTCCTGAACATCAAGCTGTCCGACCCTCGAGCCAGATCAGGTGTTCCCACCGCCACCACATCCTTTAGTGGACTCAGGAGTGTTCAGCGTTTTCTGGTGGAGCGTATTTTGAGCCACCGGTACGTGAATGGTGTCTAGAAGAGTTACATCATCCGCTGGCGTGGGTATCCACCGGCGTGGGACAGCTGGGCGACTCGTGCCCTGCTGATTGTTGATGTCCTTGGTCTCGTCGAGCAGTACGACGAGACCCACCAGCTGCGTTTAAAGAAGGGCCGTCGGAAAACGACCTCCCCGAACGCGAGTACAGGGATTTTAAGGTGTCGATCCCTTCGGACATCTCGGAAGAGATGCGCGCCCTCCAGTAGTGATCGAAAGGGAGGAAATCCTCGCTAGAGGCACGGTTCGAGTTGTCCAGGCAACCTGGACACGAATCACCCCACGAGAGACAGGGTAATCCTGCCTCTCTTGAAAGCCGGTGCAACTTGTATCGCGCCCCAACGGGGTTGCGTTTCTCAAACCTGATGCGAGCTGCATCAAGTTTGGCAAGCCAAGCCTCACGGCTAATACACTCGATGTTGTGGATGAGGGCATTCCATCCCTGCACCAAGGCTTTGCCATCTCGTACACGGCTACCATTGTACCACCGATGTTTGAAAAACACATCAATGAAGAATTATTTCTCAGCACGAATAGTTTCCGTGCTGGAATCAGGTGGGCAAATCTTCTGCAATAGAACAACGGGATTTGATCCCGTTCGGTAGTAGTGCCGGCCAACCGTTCCAACTCCCTGGATTGCGGCATCCACGGAGACTCTACTTGAGGAGCGTGGCGCAGGACATTTTGGTACCTGGCCTCTTGATAGGTGCCAGCATGAGCACTAGCACCAGTGGCAGATCTGTCCCATCAAGTTAATCCGCTCGTGGTGATGCTCAGAGGCATCACCACAATCCCCACGCGTCCTATCGTTGGCTGGACTCCAATGAGGCGAGGATTCGTCGAAATAATTGCTCGATCCGAAGATATCGAGCATGATGCCGCCACGTTGACCAGTGCCGGTCAACCTGGCTTTTGCAGCGTCCGCCCCGGGTGATCCGGAGGCGTGAGGAGTTGCCTTCGAGTCGGACGCATCATCCGACTCGCCAGAATAGATGAGCTCTATCTCAGACTCGTCTTGATTACGACCCCAGGTACCCGCCGCAGACGCAACGGATGTACCTGTCGCACGTGGTGACTTACCATGTGGAGGATTAACGACAACAGGCGACGAATCGCCTGCTGCTGAGGCGTGAGAGGCACACTCTCCTGTTGCACGCATGCGTGCAGCCGCCTCTCTTGCTGATGCAGTAGCAGCTCGCTTAATTTTTGAAACCATGGGTCGGATTGGCAAATGAATGGAACTTGACCAACAAGTGCTCCCTTTCCCAGAGTGACCCAACGGTGGTCACTCTGTCCCGATCAATTCTGTACAATCAACGGGTGATTGATGGGTTAGGGGGTGATGTAGCGGTGTTGCCCGTTACATGAAATTGACACCAAACGGTGTCAATTGGAACATTGTCTAGTATGAAAATATTCTACCGATACTATCCGGGATGGGTAATTTTGAAGTAACATTACCCCCTTTTGAATAACATTTATTCGCTGCTCCACGATTGGTTAATGAATACACATCGACCATGGATTAACCACCAATCGCTGCTAGACGCGCGCAATGAGTGGTGAGCAGGTTGTCGTCATACGACGGCGTAGTTTAATATAGTCACATAAAGATTATAGTTAAATTGATAGCTAACCATTAAATCATCCTTTAACCTTTACCGACCATCGTTCAAATTATTTTTCCTCGCACGTACTAGTACGTAAATTTCCGCACCCAAACAAAGGGTGCCCCGTTACAGGCTGCTACCGCGACCGGCGGCGTAAGCATATCTTTCAAGTTGGCTCTATGAGTCTTGAAGACAGCGTGAGTTCACGTTCTCTTCGCATCCGCGTGTATATCCGTGTGTACGCGTAGACCATAATACAGAATTTTGCAATGCATCGCCGAATACAAATTCAATCAAAAGCCGCATTCTAGGCTTCCGTTCTCTGCTGGCTAATGGATATTCTAAATTCGCGCGCACCAGATGGTGTCGATCTTATGGGCAAGTTGCGTGTTGCGAGAAGGAAGCGTTCGATGAACAATAAGATTCTGTTACATTTCCTTACTAGTTCTCTCTTCTCTGCCATGCTCACAAAGCCCTCTTCTCCAGTCATCCATCTCACGATTCTGGCTCTACTCGAATCACTATCCTGCTTGTCACTCTGCAGCCACCTTTTACGCACAGCGAGTTTGTGACATCATGTTTCCAAATAAACCCCAAGTCACCGGCCGATCACTCCGATCGTCAATACGTACCTTTGCACCCATTTCCAACATTTCAACACTCCTCCTTGGTCGTGACTTGTCCTCACACCCAGTTCCATTTCTTGAGCTAGCATGTGTATTTGTCCTTGTGCTCCTCCAACCTTAAGCTCCCTGATCGCCCTTGATCGTCCTTGACGTTTTCTTAACAAATGCGCACGAGTGCGCGCATGTCGAGAGCTTCGTCCAACGCCTTCGTGAAGAGGTCTTAACTACATTAAATACAGTTCTCATTTTACCTAAACTTGAACTGGCTGTTTGAGTAGATTAGCTTCCTCTGCACGTACTAGTGTACGTATGGTTTCGTGGCACCCAAACAAAGGGTGCCCCGTTGCAGTAAGCGACGCACAAGGAAGTGAACAATTAATCACCTGAAAGTTAAAACGATGTGACAAGTTTCATGATGCGCGCGGTACCACAATTGTATGCGAGCTCACAGTGTGACGATAGAGATCAGGATGATGGTACTGAAGGCAGTGAAAATGCTGGTGGTGAAATGAATGGCGCGTCGGATTTTTATGTGGAGAGCGAAGCCGAAAGGAGTAAAGGTGAGTACGCCCATAATATTAATTGGGATGTAAAGTAAGTTTCGTATGTTACCGATCTCATCACGGTTGGTGATGGCAGACATGGCATGGCAGATGATCAAAACTACAGCCCTTGATGTCATAGATGGCGTAGCAGATGGCCAAAACTACAGCTATTGTGACCAACTCTTTACTTAAGTGACGAGCGTGAATTGGGAAGATCGGGTTACGGAAAGGCAATTGGCACTCTGGCTACACCAATTGATCGGTTATAGGCGTACTAGGAATGTTGAGGTACGACGGACGCGTGAAAGAAAGAGTAACAAGTGGGACTACAAAAGAATAAAAGCTGCAAGATAAAAGCGTACAAGAACATCCAGCTATGGTTTAAAAAAGAGAATAAAAAAACATTAGAAAAATACCAGGTACATTCCGTATTTACAGGACTGCGCACGGATAGCCAAGGACAGCGAGAATCACACATAAAAGACGTAAAAATTGTCAAGATCTTCATTTAGAACATGTACAGTCGTGGTGTGAACCTTGGATGCTCAAATTGCTGCACAAAGGGCTAAAAGAGTTCTAAGAGAGATTCGACGACCAGATATGCCACATAAGGAGCAACTCGTTAGAACAATGTGGTTTTACAATGTAAAGACAGACCATATAGGTTACGTGGTAAAATTTCGAGCTCAAGTAGTTGCGAGAGGCGACAAACAGCGGCCTGGGATCGATTTGAGAAAACCTTCTTTTCTTTGGCTCGAATGGCCACTTTTCGTATGTTTGCTGCTTTGTTTTCAATGATGTTGGACTTAACTATCGATAATGGTGATATCAAGACCTCCTTTCGAATGCAATATTGACCCTAAAACAATTTATTGGACGATGCTAAGGGAAATTCGTGTAAAACAACGGTAACACCTACACTATTGACACAGCCTTGTAAGGGCTTCATCAATCTAGACGGGAGTAAAACACCGAAGTAAACCGCTGGTTTATTGACTATGGATTATTGCATTGTAAAACTGAACCATGCCTCGATTTCTACAATCGTGCTGGCGAGTTTGTTATGTTCCTTCTCTATGTGGACGATATCCAGTGTACCACGATCAGTGCAGAGACCACAAGGAAAATGTCTGAGCAGCTTGATGAGAAGTACGGCCTGTAGCATCAAGGTCTGATGAGCTATTAATTGGGTAAGTGGAACAAATAGGTAAACGATCAAGATCCACCAAACAAAATGTTGTGAAGATTTAATCAAGCATTTCAAATTTAAAGGTACGCACCCTCGCAGAATCTCAGTGGAAACAATACTCGATCAACCGTGCACGATACGGATACGGGTCGTCAAAAACAATTGCTCCAAACAGCAAGGCTTTTCCATGTCGCGAATTCGATAAGTAATTGATGTACTTGACCCCTAAACACAGGCGCCAACTGACGCCGAATGTGATTCAGATTGACAAAACGACCCCGACCCCTGAAAAATGTTATAGGTCTTAAGCACTACCTTCCTGTGAAGGGCAATTTCGCTGGCATCGCGACCATAAAGCATCGTGGCTCATTAAACGGCTGAAAAAAATACGTTGTGGCATGCGAGACTTGCATGGATGGGCTTCGAAGTGCTACCGGATGTAACGGGCATCCTTTCTTCGGGGTGCCACGAAACTTCACTTACAATAGTACGTGCAGAGGAAGCTAGTCTACTCAAACAGCTAGTTAGAGTAGAAGGTAAAAAGACAGCTGTATATAATCTAGTCAAGCTATCAATATTACTTAAATCTTTTATTAAATGTATTAATCTACATTGTCGAGTGACGACAACCTGCTATCCACTTAAATAAAGTTTTTTTTAATAATTGTGAGATATCCTGAATTTTTTATTTATTTTAGAATCTTTTTAATTATTAGGATCTTTAACAGAAGATTAACATATTATTAATCATAATAGTATTTTTGATGCTTTTAGAAAACTGAATGAGGATGAGCTATACACTAAATTTTAAAAATCTAATAAGTTTAAAAAGCCATTACTCCTATTGATTTTTTACGGAAATGTTAAATATCTACAGAAGATGGGAAACCCTTGGGATAAAAACAAAAATAATTGATTCGTTTTTAATCATTTTTGAAGGTACATTTAGTTTATTACAACCTTTAGCTGACGGACTAATATTAAAAAAAATTAACATAGAAACACTTGGATTTATGGTGATAACGATTCTTCATCATTTTTTTCTTTCCGTGTAATCGGTGGAGGATATGTTAGATATTTAGTGTCTTACGGCTGGTTATTGAATGGGCTGCGAGTCCATTTGAATTAAGAGAAATGTACTACGCGCGTCTAGCAGCGATTGGTATAACCCTTGGTTGATGTGTCTGTTATCAACCAATCTTTGAGCAGCGCTTGAACATAATACTAAGGAAATAATACTCCTTTAACATTATCCATCTTGAATAATATTGGCAGGGAATTGTCACGCTTGACAATCTCCCTATTGACACCGTTTGGTGTCAATATCATGTAACGGGCTACCCCGTTACATACCAAATGTCTTAGTTCAAGTCTTCTTCCAGATACAGACCAATTTTCGGATGGGGATCGACAATATAGATGCCTATGCCATGGCAAAGTATACAACTTACTGCAGCAGGACAATACAAATAGGGCTCCGTTGGCACTATGTTAAAGATCAAGCGGTCAAGAAAACTGTGGAGTGTTGGAAGGTCGGATAAGATGATAATCCATCCAATCTCATAACCAAGCCGCTTACCGGTGATAAACTTAAGAAGCTAAGCGAGCAGATTGGACTAAATTAATGACGATTATCCAAAGTGACAGATAAAATAGGATGGATGCGTGTTTAAAACCATTTACGACCGGAGATTTATGGCAGTTAAAAGGAGAGTGTCATAAAATGAACGGCGACGCGACAAGGCCTGTAGCGAATTTACACAGCTCCATGAGTCAGATGAAGACTTGACGCTCAACGAGCAACTTAGCTCTAAAGAACTAGACTCAATGAGTCAACATGCGTACAGCTTATGGTCCTTGTTTCAGCGAACTAAACGATTCAGTGAATCGACAGCACTTAGTGCTCACGAGTAACTCGCTACCTCAAGGAGGTGTTGCTAGCTCTTAGTGATCAGTGATCAACGGCTAAAGACGCCTCGCAAGGCACGTGTCTTTAAGATCAAAAGAAGAACTGGATTTTATTTACATTTAACTCTATAGAATATCTTAATCCTAATCCAGACACTTATGTCCTAAGTTAGTAAAACTAAAATCTCTTCTATCTGGTGGCTGACACCAGTCAGCCCATATAAACCGATAAGATATTCTGTATGTCTTTCAGTGGGATGTCATCCGTGTGTCCAAGACACAGGGTATCAGGTACCCAACTGCGTGAAGGAAAGTATCAACACCTCGAAGAGCTTAAAAGGTCCGAGTCATTCTGATTGATGTGTAAATAGTCTTGACTTTATCTACACTGGATTCGATGTTGCTATCGACATCCCGTGACGAGCTATTGGATCAATCTCGTCATCAAGTAGGATAAGTGACACTTTACACGCATTCTATAGGCCGAGCTCGGGAAGCCTTGGGGTTTTATCAACAAGGCAACATTGACATACATTATACCGCTATCACAAATAAAGTCACAGAGTGGATATACATGTGCCACTCCACGCTCATCCGATAGTTCTGAACATCGATGACTTAAAACTTTAATCAATCAGTACTTTCATCGTTCAGCGAGTCTTTCTACAACAATTATCACTCAACGCAGTACGTGCCTCTTCACATTCATCTTCGTATTTTTTGCTTGGTATTCTTTATTAAACATTGACAGAAGTAACACATGACATTCTTATCCAGTAGCTCGCGACAATAGCGCTTCTAGCTCCTAGCCGATTTGGGGTCATGCTTCCTCAAAAGTACGCTCGGTGCAGTGCACGTTGCGCCAGATGTTTCTGATTTCCACTAGATTCATATATGGACTCGAGACGTTATCTCATTCTTGTAAGACAGGCCATACCAAATATGACATCTAGTCTCGCGTTTAAAATAAGTAGTAATTAGCGTTCTTTAATATTAATATTGAAACACTTCACGCGCAATATTGTAGGAATTTTGGGCACAAAGAGCAGAGCTCCTATCGCTGAACAACAAGTGATTGTATCACGCTTTTGCGCTTTTAGTGCATCAGCAAAACAACCAATCCTTACATCGTCTATCGTAATTGCCGGATGCACTAGATTCGATCAAAATTGACCAGGACTTTTTAAAAAAAAATACACTCGCTTTTGCGATCCACAAGCCCGCCTTGTAATCTAATCTGTTCTCAATGTTGTGCAACTATCTGGAATGCTTCCTCGACTGTACACAATGATGCGGATGTGTCCGAGCAAATAGAGCATCGATGCATCACTCGTGCTACCTCAAGAAGAACGCTAATAGCATTGATTCTCGGAAGCTACATTCGAGCGGCCGTTGTCACAAGTAAAACTGCGCCACGACTGCGAAAGACGATACCTACCCGACATTGTCAGTTGCAACGTTCGTTTCCACGAACAACCAGTACTTTAGCAACTCGTTCAGCTGCGTGTAAGCGAGGAAGGGAGGCTCAAAAGGAACAGGCACAAAAAGGCAACAACACAAATTTGGCGACAAAGGAAAGCGCGAGAGAGATCGGGATATCGTCACAAAAAATGTATTATCGCATAGAGAAGAAAAATTCCAAATTTTCGAACTATGTGCAAAGAAATAGGTCGTGTACGAATAGTGCGAGACGATGGCGGGCCCGCCATGCTCTAACACGTCTGTTGAGAGTGCCCAGTCGCGAAGGCAGCTTGGTTCAAATTTAACACACGGTGGAGTCGAATTGGCGACTTGACAGGGAACCGGCGAAAGTCGAAATTTTAAAATTGTCGTATTCAACGGACATACAGGCGATTGGCATGTAGTTATCATTTAAACTCAACGTAACCAGCACTGAGCGACGATAAAATTTGTTCGGATGTGTTAGAATGCTCTTTGGAGGATTGACGCAGCAAAGAAGATGTGTTGGAATGTTGGAAATGGGTGCAAAGGTACGTATTGACGATCGGAGTGATCGGCCGGTGACTTGGGGTTTATTTGGAAACATGATGTCACAAACTCGCTGTGCGTAAAAGGTGGCTGCAGAGTGACAAGCAGGATAGTGATTCGAGTAGAGCCGGAATGCGTGTGAGATGGATGACTGGAGAAGAGGGCTCTGGCGAGCATGGCAGAGGAGAGAGAATTAGTAAGGAAATGCAACAGATTCTTATTGTTCATCGAACGCTTCCTTCTCGCAACACGCATCTTGCCCACAGGTTATGAGCCCAATGGCCGCAACCACCGATATGACTATGAGGACACCGGGAGGTGTCCCGCGAGCCACACCTGGGCGCGGTTCGCCAGCGCGTGCCCCTAGCGCACTCGCAGTCGTCAACGATGGACCCGCTCGCGAGAGCGGGGAGCAAAACGATAAGATCCTCGCCGCGCTCGCCGCACTCACCGATCATCTGGCGAGCCTCTAGTGGTCGCAAAGAGTGCGATACGAGGAGGAGCGCATGCTTGGGGCCGTGGAGAGCGGACTGTTTGCCTTAAAACTCGGCGCCAACACCCGCGTCCGACCGATGACGATTGACGCGATTGGAGACGCGGAGGAGAAGGCACTGGTGCCGCGTGGGTACCAGCGCGCGACTGATCTTGGCGCGTCGCAATTCGCATCGCTCGAGCCACATCGCGCGCGCGCAGCACCGCAGCTGCTGCAGCGCGCATCAGCGTCTTCGCCACCTCCGCAGGAGTATGCAGCACTACCGCCGCCGCAACAAGTCGCTCCGCCACAAGCTAATGTGCGACCGGGCATCAACGGCTACGCGATGCCGTCGGCAAGCCAGCGGAAGTTGATCATACGCAAGTTCAATGGTACGGAGCTGTACCGCGGACTCGGGAGCGGATTCTTTGAATAGGGGCACACCTTTCTGCGCGAGTTGAGCCTCGCGGAAGCGTCGTATGGTTTCAGATGGACCGAAGACATCAAGGTCAACCTGCTTGGGCACTTTCTCGCCGGCACGGCTGTGAGGTACTATCACAAGCAGGTCGATACCTGGTGGACGCAGTCACCCACACTGGAGTTCATCATGGAGAAGCTCCTGCGCACGTTTAAGACGTCAACCACTGCAAGCCAGGCGATGAAGTTATCGTGGACAAGAAGGAAGCACGACTCACCTGGGCCGAGCACTTCCTGTACATGGTCGCCGTCAGCGACGCGCGTGATGGTGCCGACTCGCTTGTTATTGATAACATCGTCCACCACGCTTCGCCGGAGATGATGAACGTGGTGCGCTCCAAGTAAGATCCCGCGCGACTCGACTACTTGCGCCATACCGAGAAGCTGGCGCACTTCGCGCAGTCTTTTGAGCGCGGCAGCAGCGCGGTGGGTCGTGAGGTCGTCGCCGCGCACGTGGAAGGCCAACCTCAAGGGCGCGATCACGTGCTACCGATGTGAGCGACCAGGCCACATCGCGGCCGACTGTCGCGCGCAAGTCGTGCACGACGACGAGACACCCGCGGAGGGTAGAGGCGCCAGCATGATCCCTACACTGACCGAGAAGCGCAGGGCAACCATGAAGAAGCGCAACAAGAGGAAGAAGGGATCGCGTGACAAGGACGCCGCAGCGATCACTGCAAGCGATGAAGCGCGATCCATAGACGACTCTTGCCGCTTCGTGCTTACGACGAGAGACGGAGTACGAGCCACGGATGGCACGCGCGGCCTCGTACTTGCGGTGACCGATGCCAAGGGCATCGATTGAGGAGACTGGATCCTCGATAGTGGCGCGAGCCGGCATCTTGTCAACGACGAGTCACTGCTGCTTAAGTCGACGACTTGCAGCCACGAGATTGCAAAGGCAGACGGCGAGTCGCTTTACCCTACGCGTGTCGGCAGCGTGCACATTGAGTTTCTCGCTCGCGGCGCTGAGGCGGTCGTGACGCTCACGGATGTGTACTTGGCGCCGCGACTGGCAAAGAATATTGTGTCGTACGGCAAGCTCGCGAACAAAAGATTTACCCTAGTACACTCCGGCCACAAGCGCTCGCTCGCTCGGTGCCGAGATGGTGCGGTCGCGTTCGATGCAACAATCGACAGCAACGTGCTGTATGTCGTGACGAAGACCACGCGCGACAAGGAAAGTGCAGGCGGTGACGTATTCATGGCGGCGCTCGAAGCGCATGCCACGGAAACCAACGCCGACGAGCCGCGAAGCCTCACTGTTTCACTGGCACCAGCGACTCGGCCACCTTGCGTTCGACACGATCGAACGCATGGCGCGTGATTCGGCATCAGGCATTCGGCTCAGCAACAATAAATGTACGGTGTGCGTGTCGTGCCTCGAGGGCAAGCAGAAGCGCAACGCGCAGTCCCAACAAGACAGCGGCAAGCACTCACCTATATATCGCATTGGCGGCGTCATCTGCTCGGACCAGAAGGGTCCAATGACGCCGCAGGACCGACTCGACAATATTTACCTTGTAAACTTCGTTGATCACAAGAGCAGCTACTGCCGATTCTTCCTCGCGCGCACGAAGGACGTTGCAGAGAAGCAGTTTGAGGCGTTCCTCGTCACTTTGAGAAGCTTTTCGGGTTCAAGGTCCACGTGCTCCGCACGAACGGCGGCAGAGAATACGCCAACGTGGACCTGTTCTGCGAGCGCACGGGCGTCGCGCACCAAGTGTCGGAGGAGCGCAGTCAGGCCTCAAACGGCAAGGCGGAACGAATGCACCGGAAAGTGCTGAACCTTGTGCGCAGCATGATGTCTGCCTGCGCGCTGTCTCGGATGTTTTGGGGAGACGCGACGCTATACGCCAATCACCTTCTCAACCGGAGCTCCACGCGATCAAACGCAAGGAGAGCGTCACCAATCGAGGTGCTGACGGGCAAGACGCCGGATCTGCGTGGAATTGTCAATTTGGCTCCCAGTGCTGCGTGCATAGGTACCCGAGCAAGAACTCGCTGCTGCAGCGCTCGGGCCGCACCATCATTGTCGGCTTCAGCGAGGAAATTAAGGGCTACAAGGTGCTGCTATCGCGTGACAACAAAGTACTTGTTACGCAGCACATCAAGAATATCGAGGCATTGACGGAGGCGCAAAACGCGCAACTCTAGCGCGCGATGGACGTCTGCGATCGAGCCGGAGGCCTTGAGGAGACGTACGCGCCAGCAGCAGCAGTGGAGAGAGATGGTCGCGCAGAGGGCAACAGGGCGACGCGTAAAAGCAGAAAGAGATGGACTCGAGCGGTGCATGGAACAACTGGGGCGTCGAATCGCGCAGAAGCGGCCGCTCGTCAGGAGGAGACAGCCGCGAGCGTAGAATTCTTAAATGCTGCGTTCGAGCACGATCCGCTAAACTACGGACAGGCAATGCGCAGCGGCAAGCGCGAAGGGTGGGAGAAGGCGGTGAAAGAGGAGATCGCCGCGCTCGGGGCCATTGACGTCTGGACCATCACAAGGCGTACTGCAGGACAGCATGCGCTGCACACCAAATGGGTCTACAAGACCGAGAAAGATGCGCAGGGCGACCTCGAGCGGCTGAAGGCGCGACTGGTGGTTAGTGGCCATATACAGGTGCTTTGTGTCGACTACACGCTCACCTTTGCTGCCGTGATGGACCTATCGACGGTAAAAGTGATCCTGGCGCTTGTAGCATCGTGGGGGAGGCTGCCAAGAACAGTGACATCCCCAACGCCTCCGTTAATGCGAAAAAGGAGCCGCAACTCCGCATCTATCTACAGATGCCGCGCGGCATGCCAGTCTCGAAGTAGACGCTACGAGCTAAGGCGTTTCGAACGCTAGCGAGCTGGTGCTGGAGCTGCGTAAGAGCCTCTACGGGCTCAAGCAGGCAGGCCGGCTGTGGAGCCATCTGCTGCACTCGAAGCTCTCTACTGCCGGTTTCACGCGGTGTGAGAGCGACGTGTGTTTTTACTGGGAGCACGACGGCGACGACCTCGTCGTGGTCGGTGTGTATGCCGACAATCTTCAAGTGACAGGTACGAGCGCGGCGGCGGTCGAGCGGTTCTTTGCAAGCCTCGCGTCGTTGTCGATCAAAGACATGAAGTGTGTCAGCAAGTTCCTGGGCATGCGCGTGACGCACAGCGGTCAGAATGGGTACACGCCCGATCAGGAGTAGGCCATCAGAGACCTCCTACGCGACAGCGGAATCGCTGAAATTAACTCGACGTGGAAGCCGATCGACGACAACTGCTACGTGTTGGATGAGGGCGACGCGGAGATTCTTGAGAAGCCTAGCGCGCAATTAGGACCGACTGTGCGCAAGTTCCAGTCGCTGGTCGGCTAGCTGGTCGGCTCGCTGCTCTGGGTAGCGCGTCGCACGCGCCCTGAGATAGCGTTTGCTGTGCACAAGGTCACGAGACGAGCCCACGCGCCTCGACTAGCAGACTGGAAGTTGGCTAAACGCATCGCGCAATCCTCAAGGGTACGGCGGCGCTCAAGATCACGATGATCCCAGAATACAACCTAGTTGCGACGATGCGACTAGAAGCGTTCAGCGACGCCGACTTTGCCGCCGACAATACGGACCGGAAATCAATGACGGGCGGCATCGTGATGCTGAACGGGATGGCCGTCAGCTGGGGTGCGCGGAAGCAGGGAGACGTCTCCCTGTCGACGATAGAGGCGGAACTTGTCGCGGCGATTCAAGTCGCATGCGAGCTAGTCGGCCTGCGCGAGATGTTGTGCGAAGTGGGCGTAGAGCCTGCGCTTCTGATGCAATTGCGGGTGGACATTTAAGCGGCGATCGCGCAGATCGCGGGAGAGACATCGTCGCTGAAGGCAATACATGTGGATGTGCGCCTTAAGCTCCATTGCGACTACTCGCGTCGCGGTATCATCACGGCGAGCTATGTCAGATCGAAGCAGATTCTCGCAGACCTCTTCACGAAGGCGTTGGACGAAGCTCTCGACATGCGCGCACTCGTGCGCATTTGTTAAGAAAACGTCAAGGACGATCAAGGGCGATCAGGGAGCTTAAGGTTGGAGGAGCACAAGGACAAATACACATGCTAGCTCAAGAAATGGAACTGGGTGTGAGGACAAGTCACGACCAAGGAGGAGTGTTGAAATGTTGGAAATGGGTGCAAAGGTACGTATTGACGATCGGAGTGATCGGCCGGTGACTTGGGGTTTATTTGGAAACATGATGTCACAAACTCGCTGTGCGTAAAAGGTGGCTGCAGAGTGACAAGCAGGATAGTGATTCGAGTAGAGCCAGAATGCGTGTGAGATGGATGACTGGAGAAGAGGGCTTTGGTGAGCATGGCAGAGAAGAGAGAACTAGTAAGGAAATGCAACAGAATCTTATTGTTCATCGAACGCTTCCTTCTCGCAACACGCAACTTGCCCAAAAGATCGACACCATCTGGTGCGCGCGAATTTAGAATATCCATTAGCCAGCAGAGAACGGAAGCCTAGAATGCGGCTTTTGATTGAATTTGTATTCGGCGATGCATTGCAAACTTCTGTATTATGGTCGTACGCGTACGACACGGATATACACGCGGATGCGAAGAGAGACGTGAACGTCACGCTGTCTTCAAGACTCATAGAGCCAACTTGAAAAGATATGCTTACGCCGCCAGGTCGCGGTAGCAGCCTGTAACGGGGCACCCTTTGTTTGGGTGCCGCGAAATTTCACGTACACTAGTACGTGCAGAGGAAGCTAAATAATTTGAACGACTCGGTCAGGTAAAGGTTAAAAGAGAACTGTATTTAATGTAGTTAAGCTATCAATTTAACTATAATCTTTATGTGACTATATTAAACTACGCCGTCGTATGACGACAACCTGCTCACCACTCATTGCGCGCGTCTAGCAGCGATTGGTGGTTAATCCATGGTCGATGTGTATTCATTAACCAATCGTGGAGCAGCGAATAAATGTTATCCAAAAGGGGGTAATGTTACTTCAAAATTACCCATCCCGGATAGTATCGGTAGAATATTTTCATACTAGACAATGTTCCAATTGACACCGTTTGGTGTCAATTTCATGTAACGGGCAACACCGCTACATCACCCCCTAACCCATCAATCACCCGTTGATTGTACAGAATTGATCGGGACAGAGTGACCACCGTTGGGTCACTCTGGGAAAGGGAGCACTTGTTGGTCAAGTTCCATTCATTTGCCAATCCGACCCATGGTTTCAAAAATTAAGCGAGCTGCTACTGCATCAGCAAGAGAGGCGGCTGCACGCATGCGTGCAACAGGAGAGTGTGCCTCTCACGCCTCAGCAGCAGGCGATTCGTCGCCTGTTGTCGTTAATCCTTCACATGGTAAGTCACCACGTGCGACAGGTACATCCGTTGCGTCTGCGGCGGGTACCTGGGGTCGTAATCAAGACGAGTCTGAGATAGAGCTCATCTATTCTGGCGAGTCGGATGATGCGTCCGACTCGAAGGCAACTCCTCACGCCTCCGGATCACCCGGGGCGGACGCTGCAAAAGCCAGGTTGACCGGCACTGGTCAACGTGGCGGCATCATGCTCGATATCTTCGGATCGAGCAATTATTTCGACGAATCCTCGCCTCATGGGAGTCCAGCTAACGATAGGACGCGTGGGGATTGTGGTGATGCCTCTGAGCATCACCACGAGCGGATTAACTTGATGGGACAGATCTGCCACTGGTGCTAGTGCTCATGCTGGCACCTATCAAGAGGCCAGGTACCAAAATGTCCTGCGCCACGCTCCTCAAGTAGAGTCTCCGTGGATGCCGCAATCCAGGGAGTTGGAACGGTTGGCCGGCACTACTACCGAACGGGATCAAATCCCGTTGTTCTATTGCAGAAGATTTGCCCACCTGATTCCAGCACGGAAACTATTCGTGCTGAGAAATAATTCTTCATTGATGTGTTTTTCAAACATCGGTGGTACAATGGTAGCCGTGTACGAGATGGCAAAGCCTTGGTGCAGGGATGGAATGCCCTCATCCACAACATCGAGTGTATTAGCCGTGAGGCTTGGCTTGCCAAACTTGATGCAGCTCGCATCAGGTTTGAGAAACGCAACCCCGTTGGGGCGCGATACAAGTTGCACCGGCTTTCAAGAGAAGCAGGATTACCCTGTGTAACGGGGTGAATCGTTACATAACAATTTATAAGAAATTGTTAATAGAATATAACTATAAGAGTTATATTCTCAGAATATTGTCATAAGGACAATATTCTGTAGCACTTCCAAGTAGTCCCTAATTGGTTGATATAGGCCATTATATCAACCAACGAAGACGCGCCACGACAGACGCACGCAATGAGTGGTGAGCAGATAACTGATTTACACATTTGTATTTAGACATAGTTAGATGAAGATAAATAGTGATTTATTGCAGACATTAACTATTATAAATACAGTTCTACTTTTTACTTTAACCAAGTACTCGCTTCTTCTTACCGTCTTCCTCTGCACGTACGAGTGTACGTGAAGTTACGTGGCACCGCCTTATTCTGTCATCGGAATAAGTAGCTTGTACTGTCACCAGTACAAGCTTCAGGGTGCCCCGTTACACCCTGTCTCTCGTGGGGTGATTCGTGTCCAGGTTGCCTGGACAACTCGAAATGTGCCTCTAGCGAGGATTTCCTCCCTTTCGATCACTACTGGAGGGCGCGCATCTCTTCCGAGATGTCCGAAGGGATCGACACCTTAAAATCCCTGTACTCGCGTTCGGGGAGGTCGTTTTCCGACGGCCCTTCTTTAAACGCAGCTGGTGGGTCTCGTCGTACTGCTCGACGAGACCAAGGACATCAACAATCAGCAGGGCACGAGTCGCCCAGCTGTCCCACGCCGGTGGATACCCACGCCAGCGGATGATGTAACTCTTCTAGACACCATTCACGTACCGGTGGCTCAAAATACGCTCCACCAGAAAACGCTGAACACTCCTGAGTCCACTAAAGGATGTGGTGGCGGTGGGAACACCTGATCTGGCTCGAGGGTCGGACAGCTTGATGTTCAGGAGATGAAATGTGTAACCGATCAGTTGCAAGATGACCTGGCTCACGAACGATGTCGGCTTTATAGGCTTGAGGATTATGTAAGGGATAGTTACAATTCCCTAACGCACGATCGTTCGGACTATCGTGCCGCTTTTGCGTTCGCGAAACTTGAGAACGAAAGTTCGAATCGTTTTCTTCGTGACGAGCTGGCTGTAGCTCGTCGATACGTCGCTGAACTGCGTGAGCAGGTCGCTTCGCTAGTCGACCAGACTGGCTCGATGAAACGGAACACTCGAAGGTGGTCTCGGCTCTCGACCGCGGACTTGTTCTTCGCATCTCGAAACGGGCTCGTACTAATAGTACGGGCGGAGACGACCGACGTAAAACCTAGGATGCGTACGCATCTTACGGGGCAGTTTAATCGTGTATGCTTTGCCCATTCGACGCAACACACGAAATGGACCGATATACTTGGGCAGTAATTTACTGCCGCCCACGTTTGTTACTGCGTGTTTTGGTAGATTGACTGTGGAAAGTTTAGATAAGTTTCATCCATTAAATGAAATACCATTCGCTCTTTCTTTTTTGTCTGCATTTCTTTTCGTATTGTCCATTGCATCTGCAATAGAGCCTTAAATGGAGCGGACAACCGCTTCGCGACTCAGCAGAAATTCCTCTGCTGATTCATCCTTGTCAACAGCAGTGCGCTTCGTGTGCACTGCTAAATGAATGTTGTCTTCACCAGTGAGGGTATCATCGTCCTCACTTTGGCAGTCATTGGCGATGCTGAATATGCCAGTATCGTCATCATCGATCTCGATTGCATCGACATCGGCATCCATCACGTCGACACCATTGTCGACGGGTGATGAGCAAGAACCAGATCGGTTTTGGTTCGAGCGAGTCCACTTCCCCTTAAGCCAGAGTCACACTCGAAGAAGGCGGGTAAATGTGGATGGCGTAGGCCATTTACGAGGAATGGTTTACGCGTTGTCGACGCGTGCACCGAGTTGTTGATGGCGAATTCCGTCATCGGCAAGAACTCACTCCAGCTCGTAAACGAGTGGACATACCCTCGAAGTATCTCTTCGAGGACGCGATTGACGCCTTCCGTCTGACCATCTGTTTCAAGATAGTCAGAAGTTGACATCGTCAAACGTGTTCCAAGTGAACGGAACACGGATTGCCAGAACTCCACTAATAAACGGTGGTCCCTATTAGACACGAGTTCACGGAGTAACCCGTGAAGTCGAAAGATAGTATCGATGAAGACACGTGCACAGCCCTGGGCTGTAATTGACTCCGGTACAGCAACAAGATGTACCATCTTGCTGAACCGATCAATAAACACAAGAATACCCGTATTCTTATGAACGTCTTTGGGAAACTCAAAGACGAAGTCCATCGATACGGACTGCCAACACTCTGCCGGGATCGGAAGAGGCTACAAGGGTGCGCGGGATGAAGGACTAGGCTTCACCCGTTGAAAAACTTCGCAAGCGCGAATTTGTCTGCGCACAAACTCATACTAGCGGGGCCAGTAGAAGTCACGACTCACCGTGAGGTAAGTATTTCCCCTACCACGATGCCCACTTGTTGGGGCATCGTGACACTCATACAGGATGCGCAGTCGCAAATTATTATGAGCCGGAATGACGACACGAGGTGCGTCGCCGTTGACTGCTGTATAGTACAGCAGTCCATTACGGACAGAATGCCGTTCGGTTGAAGAGCGGAATTGAGACGACAAGCTTTTCAAAGCTTGATTGCACGGATTGGATACGCAATCCATCAATCGCATAAGAGACTCATCTTCTGCGTATGCTCTTCGCACGTCGTCGAGTAGATTCGACGACGGAATACTCATTTTTAGTGTCGTGACAGTGGGATCATCCCTACTGTTGTGTTGAGCAGTCGGCTCGAAATCGGGCCGACGCGAAAGAACGTCAGCGACGACATTAAGTCTTCCAGGCTTATACTCGATGGAGAAGTTGTACACC